TTAAATACGAAAAGCTAAATTAATCATATAATTCTTTGTTTTAGCTAAACATGTGGCTATTTTTGAAAAAGATCTTTGTCAATTGGTCGAAAAATTAAAAGAATTTACCTTTCTCGATATTTATGGTGAAATTCATTATGAAAAAGTTGAACCTTATCGTTTAATGGTTCAATCTTGCTTTCCTAATAGTCGAATAGATGTTGAAATATCAAGATTTCGTCTTTGGCTTTAATTTTCTGTTTATTATGTATAACATATGTGTGTTAAAAACAATTGTCGTAGTTAACGAATTATTTTTTTCTTTTTGTTTCTCTTTAATATTATAAACTGTAAAATACTTATATTCAATAGTGAAATATTGATATTGTTCTTCAAATAATATCTGTTTGTTGTCTGGCGAATTCTAATGACATAACTGGAAGAAGACTTAGAAGAAATTCAACTTATCATCAATATGTTCGAAATCCTCTCGAAAATGTTGAAATTCACCTGTGATAAGAAATCAAAAGAGCCATACTTTTTTTGCTTTCAAATAAATTTTGATACACGTTTATTTTGCACGGTTAAATTAAGCAACAACATAATGATATCGATCAACATATTTTGCATTATTTATGTTATACAAGTGTTAGAACAGTATAACTTATGAAGATTATATTAATGTGTACCTTATAACTGAATAAGTTGCAGAAAGTTCAAGATCACTTGATGATAACTATGTTAAGTTTAATTTTAATGATTTTTAAAATAACAAAGCACATTAATAAAATTTCTTTTTTCTTTATTTATTAGCTTGTTGATGAAAATCCCGAATAAAGAAATCCACTGATATTATTCTTTTAACATCTTGTCTTCTTAACGCTTTGTTAAATATTGTATATGTGAAACATTTATGTGTACACGAGCAAATAGGTGATGGATAATCATAATTATGTTCAAATGATTTACTCTACTAATGCCGAAAAATAACAATATCGAAAGAAAAAATGCCGAATTTATCTCACTTAATGATCATAACATCACAAGTTTATTTGGATGGACATACATGGAAAGAACTTATCACTAATTATTTACCAAATATTAAAATATTTCAATTAAAAATGAAACTTGAACTTCAAGAAAGAAATGATGATGTGAATGAAATAATTGATGAATTACTTGACTAATTTAATTCAAATCAACCAAAACATATTGGAGAATATTTATATACTTTATCAAATGGTGGTGGTAGAGTTAAATCTAAAAAAGTTAAACTAACTTGTGAAAAATCACCACAATTTCCTTCAAATATTGGTAAAACAATTAAATTTTTTTGAGAAGATGATGCAAGAATTGAAAGTTCAATTGATGCTTATCCATTACCAAAATTTACTTGGTAAATTTTACTATCAAAATTTTCTTCTCATCAGTTTTTTTGTCATCTTAGGGCTTAAGATTTGTATAATAAAACTTTATCCGAGAAAGATGAAAATTATTCAATAGTATTTGATACTGATAAAAATGCATCAATTTTATTAATAAAACAAGTTAATAAATCTGAACATGAAAATGAATATATCTATCATGTAGTTAATGAATTTGGTTCAGCTGATATGCGAACAAAATTAATTGTTCTTATTCAACCTTATTTTATTGAACAATTAAAAAATGTTCAATGTCAGGGAATTTGTTGAACAATATCTTATTGAATGTCAAGCTGAAGCTTATCCTGAAGCAAATATACAATGGACACGTAATGATGAAATTATTTCTTCATTATCAAATGAATTTTGTATTAAAAAAATCGTTTAATTATTCTTGAAACAAAATTAGAACATACAGGAACATATGCTATTAAATTAACAAATGAAGTTAGAAAAATAGAATTAGCAATAGAATTAGCAATAACTGAAAGACTAATTGAAGTTGGTAAACATTTTATTGATATAATTGTTTTAGAAAACGGTACGATTACATTTGAATGTGTTTTTACTAAATCAATTGAATGTGTTAAATGGCTTTAAAATGGTAATGAATTACCCGATGAATCACGTTTTATACATAAAGGTGAAACAAATCAATGTTATTTTCAATTAGAAATTCATTCATTAATACTTGATGATACAGGAGAATATTCTTGTATTTATGATGAATTAACAATATCTAAAGATATTTTAACAGTTAATGAATTACCAATTGATTTTGAAAAAAACTTTATCAAATCAATCATTAACTGAATATGATACATTAACACATGAATGTATTGTAATAAAATCAAATAGAAAAATTAAATGGTTTTTTGATAATCAAGAAATACAAGCTAATGATCGATGTAAATTTGAAGCAGATGAAAAAATTCATCGATTAATTATCAGTAATATTTCACCAAATGATGAAGGAAATGATGATGTTATTACAGAAAATGATCGAAAAAGTTAAGCATTTATTAGTGTTAAAGGTAAATCTATAAATCGATATAAAATAAATTTCTTTTTTTTTTTGTTTTTATTAGAAATTTCAGTTGAATTTATTCGATTATTAATTGATATTGATATTCAAGAACATGCATCTGAATTAATTCTTGAATGTGAATTAAATAAATCTGTTCATGTTGAATGATATTGTTTTTCAACTGAATTAACATCATTTACTGATGAACAACGTATATTTATTGAACATAATGATCTTATTCATCGTTTAATAATAAAAAATATTCAAATGAATGATAATGCAACAAATAGATGTCGTTATTCACCACAACATGTTGATTTATTATGTAAAGTAAAGTACATGTTACTGAATTACCATTAGCAATTATACAAAAATTTAAATGATGAATATATTATAACTGAAAAT